TCTTTAAGCAAGTCAGCAGCTATTTTTCTTATGAAAAATAACACTAATTCTACATTAAGACAGAAAAATAAGAAAAGGAGAAAATATGTAAATAGCACTAACTTACGAGTACATGCAAGAGTAACGTAATGAATAGTACCAAAGAAAAACTAAAAGCATTTTATTAAAGACTCTAGATAGTGCTTGTAAGGCCATTATTCTTACAGCAAATTAATATTCTATGTCTCACTAACAATATCAGCAAATGAACTGTTTTAGTTAAATTAATATTCATGTTAACTGCATGCAAAATCAACTAATTAAGTAGACCTAAGTTACAATATTAAGAACATACGTAAACAGAGTCTGTGATCATTTTTAAGACTAGACAAGTAAATCATACGGGATCTGCTGTATGAACCTGGCTGGGTCTTCAAGTCAACAGATCATGTTCAGTCAGAAAATAACTCCAACAAAAAGCTTAATTAATCCACGTACATTCTAAATATAAACTAAAACAGCAGTTTCGTAAGGCTGATGAGTTTAAATTTACAAAAAGAAAGAATAAGTTTGAAATAAACAGACATTCTTCTTCCTTCTACCTCTCTATTCTTTGTCTCCAAAATGATAATTTTAGCATAGCTTAGAATTCAATAACGATTTTATTAAGTTTTTTTGGGGTTTTTTTTTAAAAGAATTTTCTTTTTCCTCAATTAACAAATCTTCACAGGAATGTTAAGGCTGTTTTTTCTTCTTCATTTATGCAACACCATCAAATTTAGATGAAAAACATCCTTAATGTTGATAACAAGAAAAGCTAAAGACTATAACATAATTTCTTTGGGCTTTGAAATAACAGTAGTATTTGTCTTTTAATAATCTCATTATTATAATTTTTTTCCTAAGACATCTATCTTGACAGTACTAGGGCATCTTACAAAAGAAATTTTCCCATTTCTTAAATTAAATCAGTTTGGGGACCTAAATTAATAATAGGGCTTGAAAATATGCCAGGAAAAAAAAAAGGAAAAAATAAACCCAGAAGTTTTTCTCTTAATAGCTCATAACAGAAGAAGGGGCAGTGCAAGTAGCCTAAGAGCATACTGTAGCGCGCACCACTCATCCCTTACTCTGAAAACGCAAATGAAACAACAAAAGCAAAAACACTGAAGCTGCAAGTCAAACATTCCAAAGGCAATGGCAGAATTTACATTGCCACTAGAACACAGTTCAATCACCTGGTACGTATCCATCGTGATTTGGGAATACAGCAGCAAAGACAAGACAAATACTAAGAGGTGATGCTGAGGAAGACGTGCAGGTAGGTTACACATGGCAAGCCTTCGCACTCGTCCTTAGTCTCAAATTCTGTTTCAAAGTCTGAAGGAGGTAGACTGAAGCTAGAATACACTGAATAGACATGGCCCTGCTTTCACCAACCATCTCACAACCATCTGACCAACCCTAGGCCACCTGCATCCATCCCAGATCTTCCTTAACTCTAACTGCTTAACCCAAACACTTTTGAACCTGTCAGTCACAGGCTCTACTTCCTTCACATGAGTCATGCCCAGCCCAATTTCCTTTTCCAATTCTATTCTTCCAGCCAGGTTCTAGTTCTCACTTCCTCAGCACAGCCACCAATAATGTTTTCCTCTCCTGCTTAATCTTTCCTTCCAGAAAATGAATTTTCACCATCACTTTTCCATCCTCATAGCTATAAGATGCTTTTGTTACAGAGGATATCAAAGGAATGAGAGCACCTGGTCATGGATTTTCCAGTTTGCACCAACTGGGCAGATTTTAGTAAGGACAGTAAAATATGTCATCAAGGCATGCATACCTTATGCCACTAAGCATCACATCTTCAAAGAACAGCAGCAATAAAATTTTTTCTAAAAAGGGCTACAAGAGTTTTTTATAGACAAAATAAGATTGAATTCTCTTTTTGCTTTGGAACTGTCTGAAACATTTCAGACTAAGTTTCTTTCGAAAGAAGTTGGTTTCAAGAGCTAACATCCTGTGAAAAAAATAGATCAACATATATACTTTTGATCACATTATAAGACGGCAGGTCTAACTTTATTGCTTTAGGGGAAAGAAGTACACCAGACTACTACTTAAAATCTCTAATTTGCCTTAATTCCGCCACGAGCATTTGGCAACTCTGACAACAGGTTGGCCTGTTTATGACTCCCAGCATTCCTATCAGGGTTGTCTTCCACTAACTGCATGCAAGGAACTGAAAGTAAGACCCATTCAAATCTCAAAGTTTCAACTGCAACGGAAGACAGAATCAAGTTTTAAATTTGCATGGAAGTTTAACTGTTGTTCCCTACCCAATTCAAAAGTAAAGGTAGGCTCAGGCTGTAGACGGATACTGTTTTTTTCAATACTGGTAAGCCGCTCAAAGCTTTGCAGTGAAATCACTGCATACCACCTACTCCTCTATGCCCCAAAGCTTTTGTCATAGTTTATCAGCAACAAATTCAAACAGATGGGTCCATACAGCTATAAAAAAAAAACAACAACCCCAACAATCAAAACCAACCACAACAAAATGAGCCAAAAGTGCCTTTAAAGGGGGGATTTCAAGCACACAAAGCATACCTTTGCCGCAAAACAAACCAGACGAAACAAGGAAACACATGTTGCTGAAAAAATCCAACATGCTAGTCAAACTAAAACGTTACCAAGCTGAAATGACACTTCACTGGATAGCTGCAGTTACATCATAGAATCATAGAATTGTCAGGATTGGGAGGGACCTTAAAGATCATCTAGTTTCAACCCCCCTGCCATCGGCAGGGACATCTCCAAAGCACCTATTTATTATTGTAGGGTAATTTTAAATGCTCGGCTACATGAAGTAGTTTTATAGAGAATAAATTAGCTTGAGGAGGGGGCAGGAAAGGTAAGTAAAATGGATTTCACCAAATTTGAAGGCTATTTTCTTACGGTATTATATTCTTGATATCTTATTTGCAAGTGAGCTCTGTGCATTTCAGACAAACTTAAAGAATTTCAAGCTGTTGTACTTGAAAATAGACAGAATCTATATTTAAATCTGACAAGCCATTTCTACCATTTCTTGTTACCGCAACAAGCTTTAAGATAAAAAAAAAAAACTGATCAGAGATACATTAAAGATCTTGGATCATTCATGTATGATAGGCAAGTATTGCAGCAGTTAAAATTATATTGTTTTAAATTATAACCTTGTTTTATATTTCTAGGTTTTACAGAGTTTTATGAAGTGTAAAATTGCATGCATTAACCTTCTGCCATGTCTACCAGATTTCTGAAAAAGTGTTCATGCTCATGCAATCTATTTCTAGAAAAACAAACAAACAAAAACAGAAAAAAAACCAACACAAAACAAGAAACAAAACCCCCACAAAATAAAAAAAAAAACAAGCAAGCATGCCTACTTTCTGGTAGCCAAATAAACCTCAGATGAATTAGTGAAAAGCTTTATGTGCATAAATTAAAATTATTAATCAGGAACATACTTCCCTCCCACATTCATGAGCTGACTGAATACACAAGACATAATATACAACAAAATACTGACTTCAGTGAAATTAATGTAAAAGAGTTGTAGTCACATCTAATGGCTCTTTAAATAAATCAGATTTAATATTTTCCAGGAACTGCTCCATGCCCTGCTAAGCTTGTTGATGTGTATATTATTTAGTACAAACACAACAAATTCTTTCTATCAATATAAGTGCCACTGTGCTACAGGGGATCTTCTGGGTCATCAAGGGCAATCCTCTGCTGACAGAGGCAACACATCACTGAATTCCTTTCATCAGCCAACCAAGCTCCATCATTAAAAACATTTTTATTAGTCAAGCCTTCCAGTGCTAAACTGTAAAATATGACTGCTCCCATTTTCAAGAACCTTCCTCCAACTTCATGTTTAAGATTGTGGATTTTGTGGATCTCCATTTATTTCTGTTCCACCACTGGCCTACGTCTTGAAGAGTCCCTTTTGGACTCTCCCCCTGTTTTTGTCTCTCTCCCTGTTCACCTTACCACCATCTCAACCTACTTCTATATGGCCAGTCACTATTCATAACCACACTTCAGTCTCTTCTCAAAATATAAGGTCTCCAGGCCCCCCATCATCTTTAACTAAACTTTCTCCTCAACTTCTGTCACTAACTTCATTTTTTATTTGAACAAGGCATGACTTGGAACCAGAATGTATTGTGCACTAGGCTTCATCAATGCTTTTAAAAATAGTATTCTCCCTACTTGAAACACAGCTCCAGATGAATCACGTACTATTTGCCTTAATGTAGTTGCAGCACTGCCTCTTTGATACTCCTCTGTAGTCAACCATTAGCCTTCTGAGTAACTCAACAAAAAAAAAAAAGCCTCAGTATCAAAGACTTAGAAGATAAATGCACAAGAGGATTATGTAAAGGTCCATCACACCACACTGAAGGAAACTTGTAATTCCTGCAATATCAACTTTGCATGTGAATTCCAGGACTGGGACTAAGCATATTTGGCTTAAGAAAAATGGAAGTCACAGCCTGCAAAGAAGAGAGAAGCAGCTAACCTCATATAAAAACCTAAAAAGCACTATACAAAAGAGAAGTCTGAACTGACTAAAACTCCTAACACGTATACAGTTTAAATGCCTTCAGTATAACTTGAATTTCTCTGGACACAGAGAGTACTGGAATACTACGCAAGTTTTAGACTTCAGTTGCAAAAACGTAACAGGATTAAAAAAATAAATCCATAACCATATTTTAATGCATAAATTCCTTATTGTCATTTTTAGTTGACAAATATCTAATTCATAGCAAAATATCATCATAAGAACAGCTGGATGGCAGTTTTAAGCTCAAATGAACCAGCATCACATGCTGACAAGTCATCTCTCTGATTGCTTTTGAATGGCAGCACATGCAGATTTATTCTCTGCCATAAATTAGAACAATTATTTCTCTGTAGTTCACTTCTTATTTCAGTGAGACCCTGCACATATTTTTAAAGGATATCTTCCCTTTCCTTGATGATAAGTTCATTCTGTTCCTCTAGTTGTCTGATCTTCTTCTCAAATGACTCCTGCTCAGCTTTCAGCCGTTCTTCTGTCACCTCCTTTTCTTCACTTACTCTGAAAAGAATGAGAGAAATAAAATACAAGACCATAACCACAGTGTGTGAATTCCAACTTCTCTGCTTTCCAGGTAAATGCATATCATCCTCTCCACTCTTAAACAGGTCAGTTTCTCAAAATGTTTATTTTATTATAGTACATAGGAAGATGCAAGTGACTTCATGCAATACATTAATTTTTTTGAAGACACTGGTCTTACTAGAGTACATGCACATTAATGGGCAGCGTGGAACAGCAAAGTAAGGATCTGAACCCACCATTAGATTTGTGCAGTCTGATTCGCCGCAGCCATAATGAAGATGCACTGAGATCCTTACAAGCCTAGGGCATGTAGACAAACAACCCAAATGGGAAAGCTTAGCTACTCAGACAGGAAGGAAATTGAAAAAACTTTTCTGTTTCTTAATCTATAAACTAATACTTCTTTCACATTTACTGGTCAAATCTAAGTCCAGGAAAGAAATATTTTTTCTTGTTAGTTTTTCTCCAAACAACACAGTTTGTCCTCTTCTGGGGATTTTAAAATATCAAGCCGCAGGAGTAAATTTTCCTTTCTGTCTGGGCCATGGCACCCTGTATCTTGCTGCTCAGTGTAAATAATTGGATCAGGATTAAAAGATGACAATGTGAGAAAGGTTTACAATGATCATTTATTCTGCACCTCAAGAGCAGGCTGTAAAAACAATTATTCTGATATCACGTAGGCAAGAAGGCCATTATGCACAAATGATCCTGTAACTATGCTAAAAAACATGGCTTAGAAATCATGGTTCTATAAAAGCTCTACAAAAATATGAAGTAAGGAGCTTAGACTAAGCACTCAGGCAATTTCTGCTGCTGAAGTCTCTTACAATTCAGCCTTTTATGATGAAGAAATAGCTGCCACAACACAGGTGACAGGAAACCAAAACAGCACAACTTTCACAAAACCTCATTTTAACCTATTTTAAGTGGAACAATCATATAGGAAGAAGAAAAGGGAGGAAAATATAAAAGAGATATATATAGGCTTTGGACCAAACCTTACACATGTTCCATCAGTCTCACTGACATTCTCAGCAGAGAACTGCATTCAGGAACTGAGCCATGTATTTGACATCATAGCATTGCCCTTAAGAGCACACAGATTTGTTTTGGTATTTCATTTTGAAAAAATATAAATACAACTGGTTCACCCACCTGGGATGAACTACAGACAGGCACTATTCCCCAACACTGAGATCCACCCACAGCCCTTGCCACAACAGCTAGAGCAGACTGCATGAATTTATAAATAATTAGTAATATTGAAACTTGTGCCTTTTCTCTAGCAAAAATTAATATATAGCATGTAATCAAATTTTGTAAATTAGGGTGATCTGAAAGCTTGAAATAAACTATTAATTGGGAAGTTTCTAAATTACAAAAAAAACCCCATGGATTTAGCATAAAAGTATTCCACTGTTTTTATGTCCACAGTCTCATTTATAGTCTTGCCCCCTGGCAGTGTTAATCAACTCATTCCTAGGCCCCTTTCCTTTCACTCAAAGGTCGTCAAAGAGGGTATGCAATCAGAAAACAAATAATGTAAAGGGAACAAGCTGTATTAACTGGGGATCCATCCCAACACCTATGTACTTCTTAGTTAAGCCAGCAACAAGCTTGGAATCGATTTACCATGCACCCTTGCTCCCCAATGGAGTTAACAACTATGGTAGGTACATCACAGGCTGCAGACAGATGCTTTTGCATCTCACCACAGCCAGTTATTTTCTCTGAGTCTAGAGCAGTCATGTAAGTGACAACAGCATATATGACTTTCCCTCATCTAATCCGTATATGACTTCCTTTCCTCAGTGAAGGATGCAAGAAGGCATCCTGTTTCTTAGAATAAAGAAAGAAAAAAATCAGAGAACAGAGAGTAAAATCCATCAGCTGGGAAAAGACAATGAAGACAGCAATGATCATGTAGAAAGACAGGAAGGAAACAAGACCAGGTCAAAAAAAAAAAAAAAAAAGAGATGATCTGAAGAGAAAAAGAGGACAAGTATTATCTCCAGGGCACTATATCAAGAAGGAAGCATGCAGAAACAATGCTGAATTAGAAAGAAGTTCGGAGCAAATGAAACACTGGACCATGCTGGCACCTAAAAATATTAAAGTCAAACAACAATGTAAGAAAATCAGATAAATTAAGAGAGAACAGAGCAGCAGAGAAATGAGACTAAATCTAGCAGGTTTTACTCATCTCTGGGTTCTGTGATTGCTGTTTGTATCAGTCTGCATCACATTCATGTGCTGTGTTTGTATTTAACGCAGATCACAGCAAGCTGTCATACTCCCAGACATATGAATGTACTGTGTCACATATCTTATGCAGCAAATGACTGAGAACAGTAAGTGATCTTAGAAGAAATGTGGCAGTATGTGTTTATGTATCACAAAGCAAGGAGACAGCCCATAAAGGACAGGCAAGATATAGAGGACAGTCACTCACAGGAGGCAGCAAAAAGAAGTTAGAGAAAAGAAATACAAGTAAATCATCAGATTATACCAGATTTATGTCACATCCTATATATGGCTCAGTGAGATTTTCTTTTTTATATTCTTATTTCTTTGTCTTTTGACAGTAAAGAACAAATGATTTTTAGCAGAACTAGGAGGGACTTTCCTGATGCCAAACAGAAACATTACAAAGCCCCAAACACTCCTCAAAAGGATTTTCAGACGCTTTTCATCCACTCATGGTCAGAAAAGAGCAGTGAAAGCACGAAGGAACTGCAACTACAAAGGGCACAACTGCTCTGTTGGGCAACACACTGGTGTCCAGCTCCAGTATTGTTGTTTCCAGGAACAAAGATAGTTGAGAAGGAACACAACAAATCAGTAGAACTGTTCTTCCTGTTCAGTGTCTGCAATATCTTCTTGTACACAATTTGCATTCACCTATCTTGCATCATAGGACATGCACCATCTTTGTCCAAGATGTGTTTTAAATTCCACACTTAGAAGCCTATGCAGTTCTAGACACATCTAAATAAAGATTTTAATTTTATTCTACAGAGGCCTCTGTAGGAAAAGAAAAATTCATAATGCAGATACATTGACAAAAAACTCTCTCAGCCTTAGGGTTCAAATTAATTCCTAATTCACAGTTTCAACTACTCTGATATGCTCCCAAGTCCACTGTTGATAGTCATAGTTCTAACTGGATGATCTGAAGAAGGAAATGATCAACAAGTTTGCTGATTACACTAACTCATTCCAGTGAGTAAGCAGGACTGATGCTCTCCACAAGGAATTTTTGAAGCACTGTACAGGTCTACAGCTCTTCCAGTCCTATTTATCTAATGAAAAACTGATGTGCATAATAGCCATGATAATATTCACACCAATACTATACTAGGGACAAAACTCAAAATAACTCTTTCTGACTGAAGGCACTTACAAATTTTTATAAAAGAAAGGAAGATGAGAAGAATCAAATCTAAAATAGTGTTTTCTATTTTTAAAAACTGTTAGGGGAAAAAAAGAGCTTTTACAAAGGGAAATCTGAATGCTTTAAGCATTGTGGTTGAGCAAGTTAAGACACAAAACAAAATTTAAAAAAGCAGAGACATAGACACTGGAAAATTCACTGATCAGTCCTATTCTCATTGGGAACATTTATCTTTGGGGGGATGCTCACCTGACATTAGTCTGTAAACTGGACAGCAAAGCTGAAAATATTTTGGTGACCATTGTCAAAAAAATCAACAAATTTTAAATTCCGAGCAAAATATTGCATTTGGAACAGGTAAGAGGACAGGGGAGGAAAAACGGAGGCACATTATCTCCCACAGCATCCTCACTGTCAAACTGAGGCAGTGTGATCTGGATGACCAAG